TCTCTGTAATTCTTCACTTGTCAGGCAAGGGGTTAATCTGGATGAGCCAAATACCTTGTGAATTGCAGGGCATTATGGAGTTCAAAGCCCATTTACTTTCAATTTTCTTATTAAACACTCTCTTCCTAGTAAATTGAACGACAAATTACCCAGAAAAACAAAGGGCTGCTCAGTCTCTCCTCGGAGACCTTCTTCAGAGAGACTTGGAATTTCAATTGTAACCCGTGTGACCAAAAAGAACCTGGTATAGACGTTTTGTCTCTGTTGTAGTGTGTACAGGAAATTGCTTGTGTCGTTCTGTCAGGAAAGGCAGTTAGGAATCTGGGTAGAAGTGAAATCTGGGGGATTAAAGCAGTAGAGGTGTATTAGTGTTGACACTGTCACAAGGGAGCGCTGTGAGTGTGGCTGCTCTTTCAGAGTCTTATTACTCGCTTCAGCCTCCGATCAGCTGTTTTTTCCCTCCCTTCCAGCGAGGGCTGCCGGTTCCTGGAGCACTTGAACATTTCTTGGTGTGATCAGATATCTAAGGATGGCATAGAAGCTCTCGTGAGAGGGTCTGGGGGCCTCAAAGCGTTGTTCCTGCGAGGTTGCACCCAGGTTGGTGAAGCAAGCCGTTTCGTTTTCAGGGGGATGGGGATGCAGAGTGTTCCCCACAGTTAGCCACAGTTCCCATCATAATTTGACTTGTTGAGCGGGTTCAAACAAAAGTGGGTTTTGTCTTAGCAAAATTCAGCATTTGTTTTATTCTGCTTATCTTAATTTATTAGCCAGGACTATACGCATGTCTAAAGCCTTAGAGAAAACATTTGCTGTATATGGTTGTATTGATTGATTCTTGTGGGGGCTGTCAAGGGAGACATATTCTGTAATATAGTTTTAATCTTGTGCAACATTGCCCCCCAAAGGCATTACTGTATAATTACATCACCACTTCCCACAAGACGCAAAAACTTTCTGGCATGTTATGAAATCCGCTGGGGAACTGCTCCCAAATGGAGACCACCAACCGTTTATATTCTCAGAAATGTAAGAATACCATATGACAGGATGTATTATCTTTTGTTTTACGACTGAAAAAAATCTTCAGGGCCCTTTCTTCTCTAATGAGGGGGAGGATATACCTGTACGATATGGTAGATTTTCATTAAGAAAGTGCTAACAAGCATTGCGTTCGAGCACAGAATCATAAACCGGTGCTGCACCATAGAAAAGGTTAAACTTGAGAGGCATGAAGTTTCTGCAGCTATGTGCGGCGCTAGATAACTGAGGCAGTAGAAGAGACAGTGGGACCTTGTGCTCTCCTGCAAGCTAATTCTGGCAGCCGGGCTGTAAGTGCCGGTGAAGGATAATGAACTAAAACGAGCATCTTCTTTTCATGGTGGTCATGCAGCTGGACGATGATGCACTTAAGCACCTCCAGAAGTATTGTCCCGAGCTCATGACCATCAACTTGCAGTCATGTACAGTAAGTGGTGTTCGATTATGTTTCTTGCTGTTCGCCTGGTCATGTGTGGGAAGTTTTGCCCATTTGGTGCCCCAGCGAAAATCTTTCTCCCTGTAAGGTCGTGTCCATTTGTCAAAGTGGTACTTCAGGCTGGGCGGGCCATCTGTATGTCTCAGACTGAGGGCGGGTTGAAGAGACAAAACCAGGTGATTCCTATCTTGAAGCAAGTACCTGTGGAGAGGAATTTAACAGAAGGCAGAAAGACGTTTTTATTTTTGGCAAGGGAATGGAAATCGGCCAGCTCAGCTGAGAACCTTAATGTCTTTTAAATATGGCTGTGCCACTGGTAAATTCTTTTTACGGTACCAGAATTAGTTCTATCTCCCAGTCTAGGTTTTTAAGCAGATGGATGCATGTGGTCCATTGTTTTTTCTGCTGAATGCAGATTTATAAAGTTAGGTTCTTCATTACTTTATTTAGCAGATCACAGATGAAGGCTTAGTCAGTCTATGTAGAGGATGCCACAAACTTCAGATCCTGTGCGTCTCTGGATGTACCAATATCACAGATGCCTCTCTCACAGCCCTGGGTCTCAACTGTCCTAGACTTAAGTAAGTGAACGACATTTGTGTTCAAGCCACTCGCCTGTTTCGCTTTAAAGACGCTTTGACTTTCAGTAAAGACTTCTTCCTGGAAGGATTTATTCAAACTCTGATCAGACAGATTGACCGTTATTTTGCTGCACTTACACAAAGGGAATAAATTGTTCAGAAGCTTCCTGCGCTGGCAGGGAATGCTATAACTAATTTTTCTTCGCTTTGAATTTCTGCCTTCAGGAGCTTTAAGTGTCATACAGCATGAGAAAGAAGCCCAGCAGTTCCAAAAAATGAGCTGTAATTTCTCAAGCTGCGTGGGGAATGAAGATTCTTGCAAAACCTTACCTTATACTCCTGGCTGTCAGTCATCCAAAGCTACAGAAGTGTTAGAGTTTAGATGTCTAACATGACTGAAAGGGTAGACTTGTCTTCAAGCGATGAGTCCTGCAGTAACAACACTTCACATTGTATTTGCACTTTTATCACCAGAATAATCATCAGCCAGATGTCTTTTTCTACGGTTTTTCTTCCCTTTCTATTAAATTATATAAAAATATGCTTCTCTGTTGTGGAAGAATTCAGATATACGACTGTCACTTTTTATGTTCTGTACTTAATTTTGAATATGCGGGCATGTCTGTCAAGTCGCTCGGATTATCAAGAATCCTCCAATTACCCTGACAACATTTCATTTCAACTTATTTTGTCCCAGTTAGCTTTTTTTGTGGGCTGCAGTAAATCTGCAGTTACTTAAACAGCCAATAAGCGTTTTACCTGACCAAGAACTTAAAATTCCGGCCATTTTCAGGAACAAAACACAAACTTATGTTCATGCATTATTCTTGAACTGAAGATCCCTTATTTCATTAATAGAAATCAATTGGACAAGAGTCGGACCCCCATGCAAATCATAACACATATGGGGAATAATCAAAAGGGTTATAAGTTGTTATTTAGGATATAGTTTTAAGAATCACTGTTATCAGGAGCTTTTCATATACAGTTAGGTCATGTCCTGTCATTTCAGCAGTGCTTGCTATGTATAGGAGAACTAGCAGGTGTTAATCTACCGGGTCTCCAGGATGAGACAGTGCTGTTGTATCGCTCTCTTTAGAATCCTGGAGGCGGCGAGATGTTCACACGTGACGGACGCTGGCTTCACTGTTTTAGCAAGGGTGAGTACTGCGTTATGGGTTGAGTGATATTTCCAGCAAACTGCAACGCCGAGCACCATTGTTAGCATGAGCACTGATGCATGGACTCCGCAAACAGCGAGCAGCGTTGTTACGACTTTCGGAAACGTCAGTGAGCGATTGCGCTTCAAGGGGGTTGAGGTTTGAAGGTACACGTGGTGTGTTTTGGGCTCCTTGTGGCGGTTTGGGTTGGTTCTTAAATCGGTAGTCTTACTCTTTAGCATTGTCTTAATCATGCAGAAGTGTATGAAGATCCAGATCTTTTGTTGTACAATTTACAGTAATGTCATGTGCTTATACAGTATGAAGAGTATGAAGTAGGAAAAGTATGAAGAGGTTTTTTTTTATATTTACTATAAATTCAATCATTTCAGTTTTCCTACCTGAACGGTATTCGCAAGTCAGTGCGCTGCACTGGAGGAGGGGTGCCTCTTAAACAACTTCCCTATAAAACAAAACTTACTTATGATTCTTTTCTTTCAGAATTGTCATGAACTAGAGAAGATGGATTTAGAAGAATGTATTTTGGTGAGGTGTCTTTATTTAAGTGCACATCTGAATCTTAAAAATGACTTTCATGAAGGATTTCAGTTTCTTTCAGTTCATTTTCCATTCCAATTTTTTCCATCATTTTACAATACTGCGTTATACTACACTGTATATATAGAGGCGGTCACTGTGGAGCTGTGATATGAAGTTTAAATAGTATGGTTTATTAAGAATCCAGTGACAAGTGGCATAAAGTTCATATGCTTCTCTTTGCAGTCATTTCTAAATGGCTGTGTGCGTTTGTGCGCTGGGTTTGTCTAACATAAGCTGCCTGCTTTTTTCTCCTCTTGACAGGTGACGGATAACACACTAGTTCAGCTCTCCATCCACTGTCCTCAGCTCCAGGCTCTGGTGAGTTTGGTATCATCTTCGCATTCTTGATCTTTTCTTTCGTGGCCATTCGGACGATGTTTGTTTATCTGCTTGTTTCAGAGCTTAGTAACCAGGTCATAAGGCTCACAAAATAATTTGTTCAGAAGAATCCCTCTTTTGGAAATAAAATAATTTAGAAGAAAGCTGTCCTTGGCTTTGTGGATCCAAATTCACGGCACTGAGTTGATGCTTTCGTGTGTAAGTAGCCCTGGAAATCCCCTCAGCCTCCTCATATCTGTACGGGAAGCCTGAGAGTGGAGATCAAGATCATCAAGGTTCACAGAACCTGCTGTCTGCATAGCTGAGGAAGCTATGTGTTAGTCCAGACACGAAGGAACCAACACGTACTGTAACGCCGTAATTGCACATTGACAGGTCTGCATGCTGTTGATGTGCCCATCCCACTTCAGTGCGCGAGACACTTCTGTTTTGCAGAATCGAAGAATCTGCACTGTTTTGCTGCTTGGCACTTCACGTTGACCTCATCTTGACTTCTC